GCGTGCCCGACGCTGTCGTCCCAGACGAGGCAGACCAGCAGGGGCACGTCGTCGGGGTGCACCGGCCATTGCCGGCAAGCTTGGGCGTGGTCACCCTTTGCGATGAGCGGCACGCCGTCGGCGCCCCAGTCGCTGAAGGTCTCGGCGATGAAGGACGCGGCGTCGAGGAGCGAGACCAGGCCGGCCATGCGCATGCGCTCCTGGGTGGCGACAGCCAGGTTGAGGCCGCTCGCTGTCGCATCGTCGATGGGGCGAACTTTGTAGGAGGTGGCGGTGCGGCTCTGGACGCGGGGGAAGCGGCGCGTCGGTAGCCAGCGGGCGAAGGGCACTGTGGAGTTGACGCACCCGGCGGCGTCGAGCCACACCTCCCACGGGCCGTCCAGCTTGCCAGCTGCGCATTCCTCCTGTGTGACCCGGAGCACTTCAGCCATGTCCGGCTCGCGCTTGGAGTTCTGGAGCATCTCCAGTAGCATGGAGTCTCTGGAATCGAGCGCATGCTCGAGCGCGCGGTCCAGCGCAGCGGCGTCTGGCAGGTCGGTGCTCTCCACGTTCTCGAACAGCTGCGTGTCGGGCAGGACGCCTCGCATCCGAAATCCCGACTTTATGTCGGCAATGACATCGGTGTCCTCGTGCCCCGATGCCAGAAGTAGCTCCCGGTGTAGCGGCCCGTTGTATTCTGGCGGTAGCACGTCGCGGACGTGGGAGGATAGGCCCGCACGCCAGGCACGCGTGGCGTCCGCAATCGAGGCCTGGACGCGTTTCCAGTAATGTACCTGCCCGATGACCCACTGCTCGTAGTCCGGGCAATCGCGCGCCCAGAGCAGCGCGCTGCGGATGGGGGCCGCCAGGGGTGCGGTCGGCGGTTCCGCCCACGCGGCCGATGGTTGGCCGTTCGCATGGTCCCACGCCTGGTCGATGTGCTGGACCGGCGTGATGGTGCGCTGCACTTGCGTGGCTGCTTTGCCGCACTGGCGGGTCGCGCCGAGGTGCCGGGCCGGTGCCGCTGCGGCGTCCCCGTACCAGGGGATGGTGTCTGGGTGCACAGGCCCCGGGCGACGCGGGATGCGGGGCGGCGGGGCAAAGGGTGCCTGCTGGGCATGGTCGACGCCCTCGAACTCCTGCTCGGTCACCGGATCGCGGAGCCTGGCGGCGTGTTCGACCACGGTGATTCCGCACCCGGCGGGGCATGCTTGTGGTGGAGCCCGGGCGGCGTGGGGTGGCGGTGCGGCGGCGGGCACGCGCTGAGGGCCACGCGTGCCAGGCGCGGTCGCGGGGTGCGCGTCGTCGCCGCGGCCTGGCGGAGGTACCAGGGGCGGGGTGCGCGACCTTCCCCCGGGCGGCTGCCTGCGAGGGCCGTGCTGGCGAGGGCGGGGATTGCTGGTGCGGCTGGCGCGGCCGTCGTGGGCACGCGCGCCGCCTGAGAACTCACCGCGTGGGCTGAGCTGGCTGCGCTGCCGGCTGCGGTCCGGCTGTGAGCGCGGGGAATGCGAGAGGCGGGGCGGGCGTCTGTGCCGGCGCCGCGGTGGCGAGGTAGTAGGGGCGCCCGAAGCCCGCGTGGGCGCCAAGGTCAGGCTAAGCGGTGGCGTGGTGTCAGGGGCGCCCGAAGCCCGCGTGGGCGCCCGGTCCAGGGTAAGCGGTGGCGTGGTATTAGGGGCGCCCGAAGCCCGCGTGGGCGCCCAGTCCAGGCTAGACAGGGGACCGCTCTGCGCGTCGGCGGCCTGGAAGTCCGCTTCCGCGCTTGCGGGGGCTAGTCAAGCGTGGCGGAACCAGCACGCGTCGCCATGCTTGCAAGTCTTCCCGTTGCTGAAGTGCCAGCACAGGTCGCCCTTGGGGGCGCGCCGGGCGGGCTCTGCGGGTGGCGTGGCCTTGCCCTTGCTCTTGCCCTTGCCTTTGCCCTTGGGGGGCTGGGCCGGGGCGCTTGGGTAGCCGGCTGCGGCGGCGGCCCGCTCGCGGCGCTCGCCGCGGGTGAGGCGGGGGCGCTTCGGGAGGCGTTCGCCACTGCCGTCGAGGGGAGCGCCTGTGGCGATGCTGCTTGGGCGGGGCGGACTGTGGCGGGATTGGCGCGCGCGAGCGGCGAGCCGGCCGTCTTCTTCGTCGGCGTCCGCTCGGCAGGCTGGCAGGGAACTGCGGTCGGTGGCGTCCAGCTGGTCGGCCGTTCAGCTTGCTTTTTGCCCACTGGCTCTGGAAGAGCACACCCTCTGGGGTCCTTCCGTGGGCGTCATCGGGCGGTAGCCGGGCATCGGCTGCTTGGAGCGTCGGACGCAGCTCCAGAACCGCTCGTGGAAGGTCACCAGGCAGTCGATGTCTTTGACCCAGCCGCAAAGGAAGAGCAGGTTCTCGATGAGGTAGCACGCCTCCTCGAGCTCGACGAGGCCGCCGGCCGGTGCCTCGGAGATTGCGGGCATGCGCCAGGCGAGGACTCCGCCGACGCCGGGTTTGAGCTCGGCCGCGGCGGGCCGGGCGCGGGCTGCTGCGTCGGACTGGACCGTAGTGGCCGCGACAGCTTCGAACTCCTGGTTGACTCGGCGGAGGCGTTCCCACCGGCCCACATCCGCATGGACGGGATGCGGCCCAGAGTCCACTTCGAAGCGCCGCGCGCGTGTTTTAGCGCCTGGAGGCGTGCTTGCGGGTACTCCGGGCTGAGCTCGTAGTACTCCTTCCGCGGTCCGGGTTCGCGCGCTTCGACGGCGTGGCTCGGGAGGGCGCTGCCCGCGGTGGGTCTTTTCTCGCAGTGCTTGTTGCCACTTCTCGTAGAAATTGGCTGGGACATTGGCATAACCCCGGTGCCGGGCTTGACGCTGTCGCAGGCGGCTGCGATGGCCTCCAGGAACGCGACGTCCACGGTCTTGGTGACGGTGGCGCCGTTCTCGCCCTGGAGGAACTGCGGCGAGACGCTGTCCACGACCAGCGCGGCGTCGTCCAGCCCCTGCGCGGTGAGGTGTTCGCGGACCTGCCGAGGCAGTGCCGCGACCCAGTCGCCGAACGCGGCCATGACGCTGCCCGGCGGCGGCGGCGGCGGGGCGGGGGGCGAGGGCGCAAGCAGCTCCAGGGAGGCGCGGCTGCGGGCGGGATCGCACGAAAGCACACAGGCACCGCGCCGCCGACCAACCCCCGGAGCCCAGGACCAGGAGGCCGCCGTGGGCCGACAAGCCCCGAACGGGCAGGGAGGCCCCAACCATGGGCCCGCTAGGGACCGGCAGACGGCCGGCCGCGTGAATGGGTGGCCGAGGCCGCGCATGCAGGTTGGCTCCGGGCAGGCATCGCCCCCCGCCCAAGCCACCCCAGGGGGTGGGGAAACAGGGGGGGGACGAGGGCACACCCGCCCTGGCAGAAGCCCCGGCTGCACACAGGCGGGACATTGCCTGCCGCCCTGCGAAGCTCCTTCCGAACCACGACGACGGGGGGGGGGGGGGGGGGGGGGGGCTGCGCCAGCGCAGCGATCGGCCCCGCCCGGGGTTGCGCCGGCGCACGCCCCAGACGGTCGACCGCCCCAGCGGACGCCCGCTGGCCGCGCGGCGCGGCGCCCCGCGGTTGGGGCCGAGGCGCGACGGCGGCATTCCGAATCTGTTCCCCCCAGCCATTCCCGCTTGCTTTGTATGTCTTTCCATTAAATCTCCTTCCCGGAGTCGCTGCCAGGAGGAGGGGGGATTTTCGCCCGCAACCCCCGGCCACTTGGCGTCAGCGCACGCGCACGCCCGAGGGGAGCTGCCCGGCAGCCCACCCCGACAGCGCGCGCGGGCGCCACCCAGAGACGGCCAGGGCGTCGGTGAGGAGGGCCCCCTTCCACCCGGCGCGCATACAGGGGAAGCGGGGCCGGCGGTCTCACTGGACTCGCCACGCCGTTGCAGTTGCTGCCGGCTCTGGCCCGCGCCCTCTCACCTGAGCTTCTGTAATTCATCGCCGACCAGCTCCCACGCTTGTACGGTCGGCCCACTAGCCCTCGCCCGGGCCCTCACCTTCGGCTAAGCAAGCGGGAATTGCAGACCTTGCAGGTGACGTACGCGGGGCCCGGCGGCTGCAGGGACCACTTCGCCTGGTTCACCGCGAAATCGCACAGGTTCGTTACGGGCCCGTTCGGCGTCTCGACGATGAGGCGTTCCATGCGCCGGCGCGAGCGCTGCCGCTCTGCGGGCGGGCAGGGCGGCACTGCGGGGATGGCTGCGTGGTAGTACGCAACGGACTTGCACAGCCCGGTGGAATCGGCTACGAGGTACCCGAGCTTGCTCACGGGATGCTGCCACCCGCCTAGGTTGTTCGCGGCCGCGCCTGGCGCCGCAGTGGCGTCTGCGGGCGGAGGCGCGGCGGCGCCCATCGCCAAGGCGCCAGCCGCCTCTGGTTGCTGGGTGCTGTGGGCAGCTTCGTTGGCTGGCGGGCCGTGGTCTGGGAGGGCGTGCACCTGCGCGGGGGCTGCTGCGCTAGCGGGAACCTGTGCGGCCGCCTGGCTGCGGGCGGGTGTGGGCTGCGGCGCCGGCGCGGTGCCGGTGCCGGCCTGCCCGTCGGCTGACGCGGCCACGGGTGCGTTGGCTGGTGGGCAGGGTTCGGCGTGCGACGCGTCGGTAGCGGCGCTGGTTGCCGCGGGCTGGCGTGCCGGTTGGGCCATCACGCCACTGCATTCCGGCTGGCAGCGTCTGGGTTGAAATGTTGCCTCGCACGATTGTGTTTCGTGCAATGTCCGCAGTTGGGAGATGGCTGCCGCACTCCGTGACGTTGTAAGAGCACTACGACTCTGCGACCCCAGCTAGGAGCGGTTGAATGCCCCAGACCTCGAGTTCGCTGTACGGTGAAGATGCCACTGCATGCCAGCCCACGTGAGGGTGGTTAACGCTTCGCAGAGTGAAGTTCCGGATGCCCTTGGCCTCTCGTGGTGAGAGGCCTTGCCGCTCTGAGGGGCGCGTGAGGGCTGCTTACCCACCGTCGGTTTCGGCCCGCGCCGGCGCCCCCCCACCCACCCCCACACCCCCCCCTCTCGCTGCCGCGGAGAGGCGTTGCGGTGAGGGGACCGCGAACTCCGCGTCCTCTGCAAGGCCAAGTGCTCTGAGGTCTGATGCATAGCCGTGGGCCCAGCCTGAGGGCGGCTGGGAGATGCCTCGCAGGGGGGCGATCCACGGCATGCCTCCTCGCAGGCGCGTCGCCGTGGCTTCCGTGGCTTTGGTCTTGTATGCCGTGCCGTAGAGGCAGCCCGCGTCCGTGGTGCCTTCCTGTGTCCATTCCCCGAACTTGTCCCACACCGCATCGTCGTTCCGCAGTGCGGCGAACAGTTTCCGAAGTTCTGTGCGGACAACCACCCTGTAGAGCGGGTTCCGCAAGGTCGTGGCTGCCCGCTCGAGCCTGCGGACTTGGTCTGCTGTGTAGATGGCGGGCAGCCTGGCGGACGCTGGCGCCTCGCGTGCGTGGGCCAGCGCGAGGTGCTGGACGCAGACTTCGCCAGCCGGGAGCGGCGGCGCTAGCCCGGCGGCGCGATTGAGGAATCGCAATGTCTGCAGCCGTGCTGCGGGCATGGTGGGGGCGGCCCCCCCGTCCAGCAAGTCCATGACATACCTTACGAGGAGCTCGACCGTTGCCTCGTGGTCCTGGAAGCTGCCGTGGTCGACCCCGGGGCGCTCCTCTGAGGCCCAGTCGAGGAACTTTTCGATGTTTGCCACGTGGATGAGGAGCGTGCGGGCCGACCAGCGCCGCAAGACGCGCTCCTGGTGGCGCGGCCCGAGGTCGGGGCCGAGGCGCTCAGAGAGCTTCCAGGTGCTCCCTCCGACGGTGCGCAGGACCCGGTCCCAGCGCGGCAGGACTCGCTGCAGCAGGTGCTTGCGTTTGTCGGTGAAGCGGAGGACGAGCGGCCTCAGACAGGAGCCCACTCGCCGCGGATGTCCCGGGCCCCGCCCCTGGTTGGGCGCCGGCCGAGGGCGCCTTCTGGGTGCGGCCGAGGAGGCGGGGCGGCGTTTGCGCCGGGCGGTCCCAGTGTCGGGGCGGGCTGGCTGGTGGGGGACCTAGCCAGGCGGGGGTGCAGCGTGGGCGGCGGCCGGGAGGGCGCCCTGGGTTGGCGGCGGCGCAGCGTGCACGGGTGGCGGACCCTGGGCGGGGGCGGGCCGGGCGGGGCTCCCAGCCGGCGGGCCGGTTGGCCGCCCGCGTTTGTAGAGGGGGTGGGCCCCGGGTGCCGGGCGCGGGCCCAGCGGGTGTTGGCGCGCGGTTTTGGCCCAGGCTCCTCTGCACGGGCCAACGCGCTGCTGCATCCGCGTCCGCTTCCCCGGCCTCGCTAACTGCGCCGGCGGCCTCGCCCGGCGGGTGTCGTCCTGGGGCGGCACGAGGCAGGCCCATGGCCGCCTGCCGCCGAAACAAGCAGAAAGCAGAATAACACGCGCTTTCGCCGCGTTCGCAAGGCGCACGTTCCGCGGGGGGGGGGGGCCGCGGCCTGCGCGCGCTCTCTCTGTGGAAGCGCCGAGCGCGCGCGGTTCCTCCCGCTCCGCCGTCAGCCCCCTATGCCCTAGCCCAACCTAACCCAACGCCGGGGCAGAAGCGACTGACTTCGCTAGGCCTGGGCTTATGCTTTCGCCTCGAGAGGTGGAGTACGACCGCCTCGCTCGTGTTGAAAAGCACGATGGTCGGCACTGGGCGGTCCAGTTCCTCCTGCGTGAACCGGAAGTTGGCCGCCCGTGCTGGGTCGCCTATGCTGATCAACAGCGCCTCCGAGGGAAGCCTCAAGGCCAGTGCGAAGGCGACTACGAACAGCGCTCGCACCTGAGGGTCAGGCACGTGCGGCAACATCGCGACTAACGCCTTCCGCGTGACAGGGGGAGGTCGCGGGTCAGGCTGGGGCGCACGGTGCTTGATCGCGGCCTTTGCGCGCGAAACGGCGGGGCTGCTGAACGCTGAGCGGTCGAGGCCCAGCAGCGTGCAGGCCTTGTCGACCTGGGCTTTGTAATTGGCAAAAGTGCCGGGGTTCGAGAAGCACAAAGCCCAAAGACTTAGCTCGTCCGCAGTTGGCGGGAGGGGGCTGTCCCCTTTTCCGAGCTGCGATTTGGCGAAACGGAACCAGCACCTCAGGCCGGCTGTCCACGTGCCGATGGAGCGCGGGGCACCGTTGAGGACGGCGGCGCACCGGGCCCCGAATAAGGCGCGCTTCCTGAATTTGGGGTCGCTCGGCGCAACGGCCAGGCGTCGAATTGCGGCGCGCGGGCCTCCTCTTCTCGAGCCCAGGGGCGACGCTTTCAGCGCGGCCGTCGCCCGCGCTAATTGCAGCCGCTGCGAGAGTACGCCCTCCTGTTGCGGGCGTGCGGGTGCCTGCGCGGCTGGACTCCTACCACCCGCCCGCGGGGGGGGCGAGGAGGACGAGGAGGAGGAGGAGGACGAGGAGGAAGTGGAGGAGCCAGCGGCGGAGGAGACACACGGCTGAGCGCACACGGGCGCCGCAGGCACCTCGTCACTCACGAACGCCGCCGCAGGTGGCGGGCCCGGCGGCGGCTTTGCTCGCGCGAAGAGCGCGATCGCGCGCTGCGCGTCGGGCGACAGATTCCCGTAGCCGCTCCAGTTTTCCGGTGCGCCAACCGCCCGCACAGATGAGATCGCGAACACATCGCAAGAAACCAGAAACTTGGCGACTTCCTCAACGACCGTGGGTGACGCCCACGGGGTCGCAACGGCGATCTGTCGGCGAGCTTCATTCTGGCGCGCCGAGGGGCGCGTTGAGAGAGGTCGCCCCGCGCCCTGCGCGCCTCTCGATAGCCCCCTTCGAGTGTGAGAGCGTTCGTGCCGCGTTACTGACGCGCCTTCCCGGGCGGCGCTCGCGTCTCTTTCTCTGATGCGAGCCTTGCGCGGGGTCGAGCGGGAGCGACCGGCGCTGGCCGGTGACGGCGCGGCTAAGGCGACGTCGTTTCGATTGGGTCGTCTTCGACGTCCGCGCCCTGCGGCGCGCCCACCATCGTCGTGCGATAGTCGATGGTATCAGATTCGCTGCTTGAGCAGCTGGACTCCGGTTCGAGTTCCGTGCCGAAGGTGCAGAGTGCTTCGTCCAGTCGGCATACGATGGCCAGCTGGATGGCCCGGAGGATCGTCGCGCGCGCGTCCCTAGCCAAGCCCAGGGACGGCACTGAATCCGCGGGAAGCCGCCCGAGCTGGAACCACGAGCGGATCCCGCGGCCCCGCAGCCACGAGGCCGCCGCGTCCGTGTCGCGCTGCCGCATCTCGCTCCTGAAAAGGGAATGCGCCGCGACCTTCGCGAGATGACTTGCGGTGTGCGCTCGCTGGATCAGCCGAACGTAACAGCACCTCCGCGGCGGTGTTCGATCGCGCGCCATGGATACGTTGAAAATGCCCTCGGGGCGGGGGCAGACTTGCCGCATGACGCTACGCGCGAGCGAGCGCGGGGTGACGGGTGGGCGGGAGAGCAGGAGCGGGGGGAAGGAGAGCACTGGCGAGGCCGCGAGAGCGCTCAGACGGGACGGGCCGCGAGCTGGCATGGCAGCTGGAGGTCCCAGAATTCTGGCCGCAGCCACGGGCGCCTCCAGGTGGCCCCAATGCGTGTCATGAGATCATAATCCTCCCGACTGGGCAGGTCAGAAATGTTATCAACTGGCGCGCCGCGGGAGTGGGACCCGACCTGACAGAGATAACGCGCGGGCCCGCCGGAAGGGACACGGTCGATCCGGAGGTTGATCTGGAGCAGCCCGATCACCGACCAGAAGTGGTGGACGATGGCCCCGTGGTCGCAGCACTTCGCTGATCCCTTTCGGAACGACCATTCGGCGATCGTGTTGTCGCTAAAGAGGCGAACCTTGCGGCCCCGGAGCTCCTTCTGCCAGGTGGAGATCGCCAAGGCCGAAGCGAGCATCTCGAGTCCGGCGATCTGATCGTCGCTCCGCTGCTGGAATTGCCTGCGCGCAGGCCGAATTGCATCGATCGGTCGCCGGCGCGCGATCGGGGCCTCGTTAGCCAGGCCGGCGGCTTCTGGTCTGTGTATTCCCAACGTCCGTCGATCCAGAGGACGGCGGCCGCTCGTGGGGGCTCGCCCCGGGCGTCAGCGAAGGCAAGGACCGGCGGGCGGGTGTCCGCGGGCTCCCATTCCCTTGTCTCTGCAACGCTTCACTGCAACACTTCCAACCACCACGCCAGGCTGCGCAGGGCGGGGCGCGGTAGAAACGGACGCCCCGAGTGTGCGTGGGCGAACAAGGGCCGCAGCATCGCTCGGCCTAGTTTGCGGAATTGCCACGACGCCGCCCACGACAACGCGCCCGCGAGCTTGGCGGCCCCACCTGTGCAAAGAAAGGTGTCGCCCCCGGCGCGCGCGGCGCGCGATCACGCGCGCGCCTGCGGTCATCGAACCGTCGTCAAGCGCCGTCCTGATTCGGTTTGTCCATGTGTCGACCTTGTCCTTGGACGGGCGCGCAATCAGCCCTTTGCGTGAGGTCTGCGACACCGCACGCACAGTGCCCTAGCCCCCCATTCGCGAACGCGTCGCGCGCGGTGCACCGAGATGGCTAGTCCGAGAATCACGAGCGACGGGCCCGACTCAGTCTTCTTATCGGCCACCGACGTAGGGCCCAGGATGCACCTGATCACCCGGACCACGCACGAGAGGGCGTGCTGGGCCTTTGCGCGAGCGCGGAGAGGGTCGACCGGGTGCGACGGAAGGGGGGGAGGGGACAGAGCGAGACGGGCCTCCCCGGAGCGCTCGACGCCGAACAGATCGTCGACGTACCTCAGGATTGGGATCCGCAAGAGGCGCCTGCAGATGGCCACTCGGGCCGCGCCGATTCTCTCCCAGTTGTGTACGCTGCTGACTGCGCCGCGACGCGCGGCGGGGCGGCGGGTGGGGCGGGATGGCCCGCGCGGGCCTGCTCCGAACGGGAGGGCAACGTGCTGGGCTCCCCAGGTGACGCCGGCGAAGCAATAGATGACCCAAGCGAAGCGTCGGTGCTCCGGGCGCAAGGGGATTCAGCGGAAGGCGGAATCAATATCGGCCTTGAAGAGCTCCAAGGGCCCCAGGGGTGCCTGAACAGGGCAGAGCGCACGCGGCGTCGGGGCCCGAGAAACGCGTCGCGCCATTTTCCGACACGCGTCAAACAGCGCGTCGACAGTGTCATGCTTCATCCGTTCCTGCGGCTCCGTACCCTTGTTGAGGTGGGCCGCGCTGCAGTCGTCTACGGCGCGCACCTGGCGCGCGGGCGGCGGTCCGCGAATGAGCGGCGCGGGCGGCCGTCGGGGTACCTTAGCGGTGCCGTCCGGCCGCGCCCCCTGCTCCACGCCGAAGCGGGGGATTACCGCGGCATCCGGGGGCACGTCGTCGGGGCTCAGTCGCCGGGGCGTCGTCAATCGCCCCGCGCTCGCGTCGGCGAGTGCGCCCTCGTGCAGCGCTTCGTCGCACGGGCTTGGCCGTGTCCTTTTGAACAATGCTTTTCTGTCCCGTGCAGTGGCTGGCGCGCGGCGGGGCGGGGGGCCAGGGAGGAGAAGCCGGGCCCCTGCCGACGCGCGCGCGCGCCGGCCTCGAAGGATCTCTTCCGCTGATATCAGCGGCTTATGCGCCATCTCCGTCCCCGTGCCGGTTTTTTCGAGTGTCCCAATCAGCGGTGCACCCTTCGCCGGCCGCGCTCCGTCGGGCGCGAGAAGCAGAGCCGCCCCTCGCGCGTTGCACCTCACGGAAGAAGTCAACGCATTTCGGGTCGTGGAAGTCCACATCGGCGACCAGGCGGTCGAAGAGCGGGCCGTTGACGCCGGATGCTACGTTGGCGACGCCCGGGTCCGCGCCGCGACCCCAGATTTCGACGAATCCGGCCGTCCTGAACTGATGTGCCATGGAGAGGACCAGCAGAACAGCCCCTTCACGCTCCTCCCTTACCTGCGCTCGG